CATACACCAAGAGAGTAGAATCAAAAACAGAGAAATTAGATCGAAATACCGTCAGAGAACATTCACATACACCGTGAGAGTAGATTCATACACAGTGAGAGTAGATTCAAACACAGTGAGAGTAGATTCATACACAGTGAGAGTAGATTCAAACACAGTGAGAGTAGATTCATACACAGTGAGAGTAGATTCATACACCGTGAGAGTAGAGTCATACACCGTGAGAGTAGATTCATACACAGTGAGAGTAGATTCATACACAGTGAGAGTAGATTCATACACAGTGAGAGTAGATTCAAACACAGTGAGAGTAGATTCATACACAGTGAGAGTAGATTCATACACAGTGAGAGTAGATTCATACACAGTGAGAGTAGATTCATACACAGTGAGAGTAGATTCATACACAGTGAGAGTAGATTCATACACAGTGAGAGTAGATTCAAACACAGTGAGAGTAGATTCATACACAGTGAGAGTAGATTCATACACAGTGAGAGTAGATTCATACACAGTGAGAGTAGATTCAAACACAGTGAGAGTAGATTCATACACAGTGAGAGTAGATTCAAACACAGTGAGAGTAGATTCATACACAGTGAGAGTAGATTCAAACACAGTGAGAGTAGATTCAAACACAGTGAGAGTAGATTCATACACAGTGAGAGTAGATTCATACACAGTGAGAGTAGATTCATACACAGTGAGAGTAGAGTCATACACCGTGAGAGTAGATTCAAACACAGTGAGAGTAGAGTCATACACAGTGAGAGTAGATTCATACACAGTGAGAGTAGATTCAAACAAAGTGAGAATAGATTCATACACAGTGAGAGTAGAGTCATACACAGTGAGAGTAGAGTCATACACAGTGAGAGTAGATTCATACACAGTGAGAGTAGATTCAAACACAGTGAGAGTAGATTCATACACAGTGAGAGTAGATTCATACACAGTGAGAGTAGATTCATACACAGTGAGAGTAGATTCATACACAGTGAGAGTAGATTCATACACAGTGAGAGTAGATTCATACACAGTGAGAGTAGAGTCATACACCGTGAGAGTAGATTCAAACACAGTGAGAGTAGATTCATACACAGTGAGAGTAGAGTCATACACCGTGAGAGTAGATTCAAACACAGTGAGAGTAGATTCATACACAGTGAGAGTAGATTCATACACAGTGAGAGTAGATTCATACACAGTGAGAGTAGAGTCATACACAGTGAGAGTAGATTCATACACAGTGAGAGTAGAGTCATACACAGTGAGAGTAGAGTCATACACAGTGAGAGTAGATTCATACACAGTGAGAGTAGAGTCATACACAGTGAGAGTAGAGTCATACACAGTGAGAGTAGATTCATACACAGTGAGAGTAGATTCATACACAGTGAGAGTAGAGTCATACACAGTGAGAGTAGATTCATACACAGTGAGAGTAGAGTCATACACAGTGAGAGTAGATTCATACACAGTGAGAGTAGAGTCATACACAGTGAGAGTAGAGTCATACACAGTGAGAGTAGATTCATACACAGTGAGAGTAGAGTCATACACAGTGAGAGTAGATTCATACACAGTGAGAGTAGAGTCATACACAGTGAGAGTAGATTCAAACACAGTGAGAGTAGAGTCATACACCGTGAGAGTAGATTCAAACACAGTGAGAGTAGAGTCATACACAGTGAGAGTAGATTCAAACACAGTGAGAGTAGATTCATACACAGTGAGAGTAGAGTCATACACCGTGAGAGTAGATTCAAACACAGTGAGAGTAGAGTCATACACAGTGAGAGTAGATTCATACACAGTGAGAGTAGATTCATACACCGTGAGAGTAGATTCAAACACAGTGAGAGTAGATTCATACACAGTGAGAGTAGATTCATACACAGTGAGAGTAGATTCAAACACAGTGAGAGTAGAGTCATACACCGTGAGAGTAGATTCAAACACAGTGAGAGTAGATTCATACACAGTGAGAGTAGAGTCATACACCGTGAGAGTAGATTCAAACACAGTGAGAGTAGAGTCATACACCGTGAGAGTAGATTCAAACACAGTGAGAGTAGATTCATACACCGTGAGAGTAGATTCAAACACAGTGAGAGTAGAGTCATACACCGTGAGAGTAGATTCAAACACAGTGAGAGTAGAGTCATACACCGTGAGAGTAGATTCATACACAGTGAGAGTAGAGTCATACACCGTGAGAGTAGATTCAAACACAGTGAGAGTAGAGTCATACACCGTGAGAGTAGAGTCATACACAGTGAGAGTAGAGTCATACACAGTGAGAGTAGATTCAAACACAGTGAGAGTAGAGTCATACACCGTGAGAGTAGATTCATACACAGTGAGAGTAGAGTCATACACCGTGAGAGTAGATTCAAACACAGTGAGAGTAGAGTCATACACCGTGAGAGTAGATTCATACACAGTGAGAGTAGAGTCATACACAGTGAGAGTAGATTCATACACAGTGAGAGTAGAGTCATACACCGTGAGAGTAGATTCAAACACAGTGAGAGTAGAGTCATACACAGTGAGAGTAGATTCAAACACAGTGAGAGTAGAGTCATACACCGTGAGAGTAGATTCAAACACAGTGAGAGTAGAGTCATACACCGTGAGAGTAGATTCAAACACAGTGAGAGTAGAGTCATACACAGTGAGAGTAGATTCATACACAGTGAGAGTAGATTCAAACACAGTGAGAGTAGAGTCATACACCGTGAGAGTAGATTCAAACACAGTGAGAGTAGATTCATACACAGTGAGAGTAGATTCATACACAGTGAGAGTAGATTCATACACAGTGAGAGTAGATTCAAACACAGTGAGAGTAGATTCATACACAGTGAGAGTAGAGTCATACACAGTGAGAGTAGAGTCATACACTGTGAGAGTAGAGTCATACACCGTGAGAGTAGATTCAAACACAGTGAGAGTAGATTCAAACACCGTGAGAGTAGATTCAAACACAGTGAGAGTAGATTCAAACACAGTGAGAGTAGAGTCATACACCGTGAGAGTAGAGTCATACACCGTGAGAGTAGATTCAAACACAGTGAGAGTAGATTCATACACAGTGAGAGTAGATTCAAACACAGTGAGAGTAGATTCATACACAGTGAGAGTAGAGTCATACACAGTGAGAGTAGAGTCATACACTGTGAGAGTAGATTCATACACAGTGAGAGTAGAGTCATACACAGTGAGAGTAGAGTCATACACTGTGAGAGTAGATTCAAACACAGTGAGAGTAGATTCATACACAGTGAGAGTAGATTCATACACAGTGAGAGTAGATTCAAACACAGTGAGAGTAGATTCAAACACAGTGAGAGTAGATTCATACACAGTGAGAGTAGATTCATACACAGTGAGAGTAGATTCAAACACAGTGAGAGTAGATTCAAACACAGTGAGAGTAGATTCATACAAAGTGAGAGTAGATTCAAACACAGTGAGAGTAGATTCATACACAGTGAGAGTAGATTCAAACACAGTGAGAGTAGATTCATACACAGTGAGAGTAGATTCATACACCGTGAGAGTAGATTCATACAAAGTGAGAGTAGATTCATACACAGTGAGAGTAGATTCATACACAGTGAGAGTAGATTCATACACAGTGAGAGTAGATTCATACACCGTGAGAGTAGATTCAAACACAGTGAGAGTAGATTCAAACACAGTGAGAGTAGATTCATACACAGTGAGAGTAGATTCATACACAGTGAGAGTAGATTCAAACACAGTGAGAGTAGATTCATACACAGTGAGAGTAGATTCATACACCGTGAGAGTAGATTCATACAAAGTGAGAGTAGAGTCATACACAGTGAGAGTAGATTCATTCACAGTGAGAGTAGATTCAAACAAAGTGAGAATATATTCAAACACAGTGAGAGCAGATTCATACATCGTGAAAGTAGATTCATACACAATTAGAGTAGATTCATTAACAGTGAGATTAGATTCATTCACAGTGAGAGTAGATTCATTCACAGTGACAGTAGATTCATTCACATTGAGAGTAGATTCAAACACAGTGAGAATACATTAAAATACAGTGACATTAGATTCATACACCGTGAGAGCAGATTCATTCACCATGAGGTAGATTCATACACCGAGAGAGTAGATTCATACACAGTGAGAGTAGATTCATACCTCATGAGGTAGATTCATACACCATGAGGTAGATTCATACACCATGAGGTAGATTCATACTCCTCGAGAGTAGACTCAAACACACTAAGAGCAGATTCATTCATGGTGAGAGTAGATTCATTCACCATGAGACCACGTGTTGAACGCCAGCCTCTGTGATGCATACCTCGATTCATTATTATTTAAGTTTCTAGCTTTGTCCCCATGCTGCGTCCGACTAGTTGATTCATGAGATTTGCATGAATGCTTTAAAACAACAACAACCACCAACTCCCCACCCCGTGACTTGTGCTGGACATCTTGGTGGAGGCAGGTACAGGACGGCATTTCTATTAATTGTTTTGTTCCGTTTTAATGAGTGTTGTTCAATTTTAATGATGAGTTCTATTCAGTTCTAATCGTGAGTTTAATTCAATTTTTATAATGCCTTTTATTCAATTTTAATCATGAGTTTTATGTAATTTTAATGATAATTATTATTCAATTTTAGTGACCTACTTTTTTGGAATGCAAAGATAATTATAAAACTTTTCTTCTTGTTTACTCATGAGAATGCAGGAGTTGTTAAAGTTACAGCTGACTCGGCACACAAAAAGCACCTAACCGGGAAAATCTAGGAGACGAACTAGCTCTTGTAACGAGAAAAAAAGATTCTTACTGTGGCGTCTAAAGGACATTTCAAGGACAAGCGGTTGACAAACTGCCAAGCAAGCAGAACTCGTGTGTTTAATCTTTCATAAACACATGAGAAGGATGAACACCGGTTGGGGGGGGGGGAGGGGGGAACGCACTTAAGAACATAAAACACAGTTTTGAGATACAAAGGTTTATTAGACTTCTGAAGGTGAAAACATTCCACTAAGACTAAGGCACAGCACAGATCACAAAGTCAAGTCTCCACATTCAAGTCATTGTTTAGTGAAACGTTTAAATATGATATTTTGCCATCTCTTTATGTCATAAAAGAATAATTTTTATATTAAGTCTACTTCCTGTAAAATGTTAAACACAGGTTTTTTAAGCCTACTTCCTGTTACTTGTAAAACATACGTTTATGTAGCCTAATTTCTCTAACACAGTGGTTTTCAACCTTCCTAAAGCCGTGGCCCTTTAATACAGTTCCTCGTGTTGTGGAGACCCCCAACCATAAAATTATGTTCGTTACTACTTCATAAATATGTGTTTTCCCATGGTCTTAGGCGACTCTTGTGTAAGGGTCGTTTGACCCCCCCCCCCCAGGGGTCGCGCCCCACAGGTTTAGAACCACTGCTCTAACATGCTAAACGTAGGTTTATTTAGGATAATTCCTCTACCATGTTAAACCTAGGTCTAAATCAAGAATGATTACAAAGTTACTACTTCATAAATATGTGTTTTCCCATGGTCTTAGGCGACTCTTGTGTAAGGGTCGTTTGACCCCCCCCCCTAGGGGTCGCGACCCACAGGTTTAGAACCACTGCTCTAACATGCTAAACGTAGGTTTATTTAGGATAATTCCTCTACCATGTTAAACCTAGGTCTAAATCAAGAATGATTACAACATCTAGACCCATCACATTCTCCCGTGACATGCACCTGTATCCCGCGATGCTGCTTATATTGTGAGTGTAAAGTGCCTTAACAATTATTTAAGAATACACATTTTTTTCCATCGGCCCAATCAAACACAACGTATTTTTAACCATCAAATTATAATCTAATAGTTGGAGGTAGTACTTAGTACATTCATAAATTCAACTCAGATTTCAACACATTCAAAATAATAAGCATTTAATAACTGCAACATAAAAAACTTTCATATGATAATAAATAATAATGCGTAAACAATTTATATTGTACATGAACATTTTTAGCCAGTTGTATGCCGTACGTTCAGACCCTGTTACATAGACATTGGGGGTGTGGGGGGAAGGGGGTGGATGCGAGGACCTGAAGGCATCAAAGAAACCGTGACGTGTCAAGGGGAACAACTGACGACGTTTCGCCTGGCACCGGTGTGGCTTCTCTCCCGACTGCCAGATAATCGCAGGCGTGCGAGTAATGACGTCATAGATGTAGGTCATGACGAAATAGTTGGCACGTTTATTCAACCCACCATATGGAAACTTTACTCAACCCACCATATGGCAAGTTTATTCAAACCACCATATGGCAAGTTTATTCAAACCACCATATGGCAAGTTTATTCAAACCACCATATGGCAAGTTTATTCAAACCACGATATGGAAAGTTTATTCCAGCCACCATATGGAAAGTTTACTCAACTCACCACATGGAAGGTTTATTCAAACCACCATATGGCAAATTTATTCTACCCATCATATGGCTAATTTATTCAAGACACCATATGGCAAATTTATTCAACCCATCATATGGCTAATTTATCCAAGCCACCATATGGCGAGTTTATTCAAAAAACCATATGGCAAATTATTCAACCCAGCATAAGGCTATTTTATTCAAGCCACCATAAGGCCAATTTATTCAAACCGCCATATGGCTAATGTATTCAACCCACCATATGGACACTTTACTCAACCCACCATATGGAAACTTTATTCAAACCACCATATGGAAACTTTACTCAAGCCACCATATGGAAACTTTATTCAAACCACCATGTGGCAAGTTTATTCAACCCACCATATGGAAACTTTACTCAACCCACCATATGGAAACTTTATTCAAACCACCATGTGGCAAGTTTATTCAACCCACCATATGGAAACTTTATTCAACCCACCATATGGAAACTTTATTCAAACCACCATGTGGCAAGTTTATTCAACCCACCATATGGAAACTTTACTCAACCCACCATATGGGAACTTTATTCAAACCACCATGTGGTAAGTTCATTCAAACCTCCATATGCCAAATTTATTCAAGCCACCATATGGCTAATTTATTCAAGCCACCATATGGCTAATTTATTCAAGACACCATAAGATCCAATGCAATGAATGTTTTAGCTTTAAAATTAAGCCGCGTAATTGAAATTTAAAAAAAAAGAGGATTTCTGAAAGTTCCAGAACTATTTTAGTGCACCTATACTGCCACTGATCAAGCAGAAATATCAACGACTGATAACTCTAATAAATTAGCCACTTTCAGCTTGTTTTAGTGTTGTGGAGGGGTATCTTGTTTTAGCATTGTGGAGAGGTATCTTGTTTTAGTGTTATGGAGAGATATCACACAGAACTAATAACTTAGCACTAGCTACATTTCTCTAAGTCTCTTGTCATTAAAATAGTAAATCAAAATACAATTAATTTTAATTGAATCTTCTATTGTTCGCTTGCATTTAAAAGGTTATTTATGAAATTAAATTCATTGCTGTCAAATCTTTAGAATTTTTTTTTTTTTTTAAATAACATAATTAACACCAGGGCAATGGATATTGATTGCATTATGTTCCCCCCAAATCGTCTAGGCGCGCTGAAGACACGTGTGCGCTCTTTGCTTCTAGCATGCCGTTTGACTCCCAGTCGAGCAGTTTAAAACTCACTAAGGAAAAATAGATTTGCCAGGTTGTTCGTTTGCTGGTGATGGTTTGGGTTCTGGTAGTAGCTCTGGCTTGGGTTGTGCGGATAAAACTGCTGTTGTTGCTGTGGTCTCTGCTGTTGCTGAGACTGTTGCTGCTGCTGTCCTTGCTGCGGTCGCTGGTTGGCCAGTACATAAGACAAAGGTAGGAGGTCGGGATCCACGCCGGCCACGTACAGTGGCGCTATCGCGTTAATGCCGGCTGTCGGTTGCTGGTGCTGGTGCTGCTGTTGATTCGCCAACAAGAACATCCAAGGAAACGCATCACTGCCCAACATCATCCATGGATAGAGACTTGCCATGTTGCGCTGCTGCTGCGTTAGGGGTCGTAGCGGGGCAGGGCGCAATGGCCGGACTGGGCCGTAAGGATTAGTTGCAGGTTTCTTTGTGGTTGCCGTGGTTGTTGACGCTAACGTTGGAGTGTTTGTAGGTGTTGTCGTTGGGCTGGCTGGAGCTGAGGTAGTGACGTCTCCAGTTGGATCAATTTGGTTGCCGTTGGCAGTGACCTCCGGACCAACGGTGTTAGGTTGTGTTGCGGTCCTTGGAGTGGTTTGTTGAGACGCGGAAGCAGTTGTTGTCGCAGTGGGTTGTGCTGTCGTAGCACCTGGGGCCGTTGTTGCGCTGGGTGTCACCGTTGTTGTCCCATCAGGTCCGGGTTGTCCCGGGGAGGCACTGGTTGCTATTATTTCAGATGCAGTTGTCATTTCTGAGGGTGTTGTTGTTGTTTCATTGGTTGACGTTGTTGCGTTGTCACTGGTTACAGCGATGGTAACCTGTGCCTTGATTTCTGAAACAAGCATACGTTAGAAGATCATTACATCTATTATGGAAAGAGCGAAAAAAAATTTGACGAGAATGATATATCGAAGCAGCTGTACCAGAGGTTCAATAAATTCATATTGTCATAAAAATAAAATAATCAGATTGAATTGATAAAATAGAACAAGTTTGAGGTAAGTATTTAAATTGATTATATTATTATTCACTTCGTACACCAATGAATGTTTGTTTCAATTTCACAGCAGTTATTTATTAACTTATTTCCCTAGGCCAGTGTTCGGCAAACTCATTAGTCAAAAGAGCCGAAAATCAGCAGCAGGACGATAAACATTTCTTTCAAGAACCTGTTAAGAACCACGTTTTTTGGGGAGTCAAAACCGATTTGTGACCGACTGGCCGAGCCGCACTCAGGTCGCTTGCGGCTCGCGAGTCGCGATTTTCCGACCACTGTCCTAGGCCATCGATAACGGATATTTTATTCCAACTTTAGTCTTTAAGACAGTTAAACCTGGCCAACTTTTGCGGACTATCGAATGACCTGCGCCAACAGAGATCTCAAACTTTTATTTGAGGTTTTGGAAATGTTGTGCGTTTATAAATTGATGATATTTATTGAAGCTTGATTGAAGAAGTTGAGCTGCAAATTAGAAGCAGCAAAAAATCATGAACTTGCTGAAAGTTCTTTTTGTATGCGTGACCACAGATGAAATTTATTGAAATATATGTTTGTATGTCATATAAGAACGTTTTGCTAATACTAATAGACTGATGCTAAGAACGAATTTTTTTTTTTTTTACAAATTCAGTTGTTTAGTGGGTCTAATTGAAATAAAGCCATTTGCATAATTGTTGGTGTCGGCCATGACGTACCTGTAATGAAAACAAAGGCCAAACTGGCCATGATGACAAAAGTGATGCTCGCTGTTGCCATCCTCAGAGGGTGGAGAGTATCAGGCTGTTGCTATGGTAACGCCAAAAACTGAAAAAAATATCACAATCACAATTAAAAGTATTTAATGAAAATAATAATAAAGTTAATTTAAAAAACACGCTTCATCGCCAAAGTCTCGAAGCGTGGTAATAAGTTAAAAGTAAAAAATAAAAAAATAAAAATAAAAAGAAAATTACCACATTTAAAACAAACGCAACACTACAAAAACTAATTACAAGCATTCCAAGTCAAAGTGTTTCTACTTATTTCAACCCTAAGCAACACAGCCAATATGCATTAACTGGAGAATATGGTAGACAATCATCCCAGAAGGTGTTTGCGAAATAGATGTGTCTTTAAATCGGTTTTAAAGGACTCCAGTGTCTGGTTGTTTCTGAGAGCGACAGGAAGGGCGTTCCAAATTTGTTTAAAAATTAATAAAAATAACAATAAAACATGCGGTCGTGAAATATTCAAAGATTACATTTCATAGAAAAATAATTTTATAATAATTTTAAAAAAATAAAAAAATTAAAAAAAATAAATTACCAAAGAAAGATTGAAAGAAAATTGAATTTAAAACAGCAACATAAAGAAGGTCAAGTTGATACAGACCTTCTAAAATGAAACGTTGGACTCACTTTGAACTTGTGCCTAGATTATATTGATTTCACCTCGGTTCTTAAATAACATTGAAAAACTAAACATTCTGAAGTAACATTTTAGATATAAATTTAATTTTTAATTTTTTATTGTGCTAATGTTAAATTCCGATCTTAAATGCGTGCAGCTTTTTTTCAGTCGTTCGATTGGTCAAACTTCTAAAGTAGCTGGCAGAAATACTATTTTTTATGTAAATCAATGTCAAGATACTATATATATAATTTTAAAAAAAAATTTTCTTCATTGATACATCATTGCAAAATTATGTATTTATATAAATTACATTTGTATTTAACTTACGCTTTCTTTTCAAACTTGAATTTCAATCACTTCACAACTTTTTAAAGATTTTTTTTTTACTTTACTAGGACTACAAATACAAAAGTGAACAACTTAAAAACAACACTTCCTCGGCGTTCGTTTATAAAACAAAGTTTCACTTTCCCACCAAGGCTTTATTCCAGGCATGTAGTGAAAAGGTAACAAATTTCTGTGGTTGCCTTGGCCGACGACACTTAAATAGCCTGGCTAGTTCCTGTCACGACCGCGTTTGTTGCCGGCCTGGCAGATGACAGGTGTGCGGCTTTCAGTCCCCTCACACGACACGTCTCCCCCCCCCCCCCCCCCTATTTCGGAGTAAGAGCACTCCTTTCAGTGTAGACGTAGTAGGAAAGGTTTTTTAAAAGGTTTATTATTCTACTTTTAAAAATCGTGTTTTAACTTTTTTAGTACAGGGAGGTAAATCGGTGGATTCGCCATTAATTTCTGACCTAGGCATCGTGTGGCCTGACGACATTAACACTCTTTATTGAGACACAAAGTTGCGGTATGACCAAACAGTTTTCAAGCACAAAAACAGTCTATTTTGTAACACAACAACTTTAACGTCATAAAGAAGAAAAAAAAAAGATTTAAAAAAGAGAATATGATAAATAATTAAACAACCTCTATAAAGAAAAGATTTTCTTAGAAATACTTTATAAATTATAATATCGTGCAAAAGGGGGTGGGGCTGAGAATTTGACAAAACATCCCTACAAGTACGCACTTTATGAGTATCCTAATTAGGGCGCCCTTGTCATGGACGTCATCTGCACGTTTTATTTAAAATGCTATGTACTGTGGCGCCTCCAGTCATAAACAACTTAACAAGCCGACCAAGTTTTGATTTCACCACCGCCCCCCGAAAAAAACCCTGAAATGACGCCCCTCCCCCCAAGGCTTGCAACGGCAAATTTTTTACACGCCCCTGAAATATATTAATATTTTAATGCCCCATTCCCTTTTTATTTATTTCAGACTTATTTCACCAACGATTTCAGAAAAACAATCAACATATTACGCACCAAAGAAACAATCAACATATTACGCACCAAAGAAACAATCAACATATTACGCACCAAACAAACAATCAACATATTACGCACCAAACAAACAATCAACATATTACGCACCAAACAAACAATCAACATAATACGCACCAAACAAACAATCAACATATTACGCACCAAACAAACAATCAACATATTACGCACCAAACAAACAATCAACATATTACGCACCAAACAAACAATCAACATATTACGCACCAAACGCCCTTGCAATTTTTAAGATATATTTTTTTTTTCACGAATCTCCTTTAGCGCAGTTATCGGGAATTATATTTGGTGAGATTGTTGGCATCCTATTTCCTTCATATTCCCTTTGAAAAAATAGGAAAAAAAGGATATTTTGGTGGTTGAGGTTGGGGGGTGGGTTTGAAAATTTGAGAGAATGCGTTATCATCACCAACGAATCTATGTGCGAAGTTTCAGCTCTATGGGTTGACGGGAGCTGGGTCAATTAGCAGTCCGAAGCTTTTGCCAACCAGAAATACATGAACAAGGGCGAAGTTAATATAAAGGATTTAATACACAAAAAACAATAGGAAAGGAGAGTATTTTTTTTTTTAAATAACAATTTAGTAGTTAAACAGATTGGTGGATTTTATTTAATAAGCTTTCTTAAAATTTTAATAAAGCCCCAATTATTATTCTAATGTCTCTTATATATACGTAGGTGAAAGAAAGTTCGACCATTCAACAACTTGTGATGGAAATTTAAAAAAAAAAAAATTGATGTCACAAGACTTTCCGGACCTTGCCAGGATTTAGAGGAAAAAAACAACCCATTAGGCTTTTGCTGAGATGGGAAAAAAACGAATACCTGGCAATTTAACAAATAATACCAACAAAACACGTCAGTTAACCATATGTTAAAATTCCGTAATAAATGCACGAAAACCATATCGCTGGAAGGGCGAAACAAACCGAAGACACAAATAAACTTTGATTGTAAATGCATTCATGGGCGTCTGCAGGGATTTGCCCAGTGGCTGGGTGTGGGGAGGGAGGGTCAACAACTTTTGGACACTTTTTTTCATATTATGAACATATAATTGAAAGCTTAGGAGCGTAGGCCTATATGTTCATAGGAGCGTAGGCCTATATGTTCATAGGAGCGTAGGCCTATATGTTCATAGGAGCGTAGGCCTATATGTTCATAGGAGCGTAGGCCTATATGTTCATAGGAGCGTAGGCTTATATGTTCATAGGAGCGTAGGCCTATATGTTCATAGGAGCGTAGGCCTATATGTTCATAGGAGCGTAGGCCTATATGTTAATAGGAGCGTAGGCCTATATGTTCATAGGAGCGTAGGCCTATATGTTCATAGGAGCCTAGTTTTTAAATAAGAGGGCTTTTTTTTGTGTTGAAAATATGCAACTTTGATTTTGAAGAAAACAAATATTGCTATTTAAAAATAAAGTAGTCAGCTTATATTATAAACAATAGAACTAACGGACATGTCGTGATAGCAGGCTGAAGTCTGAAGAGCTGGAACTGGGGCACAGTTGTCTCCAGGGAAACGGTTGGTCAGAGATGATGTTATCGAATCCAAGCACGGAACAAACAGTGATGTACCCGTCAGAGTCGTGACCTTCACCTCTTGTCATCTGAGCTGCTAGGATTGCTGTGGTATACGTGTCCTGCACAGATTCGAGGACTTTTCTTCTCAATGTTAACTAAGGCTGCAAGAGGCCTTTTCGTAGATATTTTTCTTTAACTGAGTTTCACCACTCAGACGATATTCACGGAAGATGTCCGTTTCTTTACAAATATGTTGAAGTACACTTACCAAATCCAGCTGTATGGCTTGTAATGATTGAGTTACTGGTACCAGTATCGCTGAGTATGTAGAGATAATCACAAGACATCTGAGAAATGTAGGCGAAGAGCATGAGTACACTGGCTGGTGAGCATTTTGTCGCGTTTTACCTTTGTAATTTGTTGCCAGATTGTGCAATTGATTCCATATCACCTCGAAATTCTCACTGAAAATGCGAAAGCTTTTATATTTTGTTGACATTGCAGAACATTGGAACGTTATTTGTGGGTATTAAAGACCTTCGCCTTATGCTTATTTTCGAAAAAAACCTAATGATAGTTATTTGATTGTACCAATGGCTTTACGCACTTGAACAGCTGAATTGTCCAAGTCATATTGTCATGTCCAGAACACATTGATTGCAATGATTCATTGCTGCCATTTGCTTCAGTGACTGGAATCCGATAATTTCTAGACATATTTTAAATGCATTCTCTACGTTGTCTACAAAAAGTCCCGCCGACTACAATTGTTCTGTTCCTAGGAGATCAGCCGTGTCATTGGTGAATGTTGAGACTGCTATATACAGGTTTGCATACTGATATCATAATTTGTTTGTTTATTAGTACCTCACTTATCTCTATGACGTCATCACATAGCTTTATCCGTTGATTTTGGATCATGTGATACGTATAAAGAGCTTTATCAATGGACGTATACCAATGTGTCTCCTGGTCTTTGTCGCCAGCCTCCACTCTAAGCTGAAAAAGATCATGATCATTTTCACCATCACCATTTTTTACCACGAATTGCGGTGTCGTGTCTCCCGCAGAAAATGGTTGTGGCTGATATCGGCAAAGCTCATTTTGATTTTTATAAAATCTTATTAGTCTATCTGACTTGGGATATGTCGGTCTGAATTCATAATGATGCTCAACAATACTGTTTGATATTGATGAGCACCTTTGTGCCACTCACTATCAACATGATTACCGGTACAAGCACCTTGAGGCAAGTCATTGTACTTAGCGAAAGATGTTGCTGTAAATGAAGGGGTAGAGGGAAAACAATACAAAATATACATACTGGACTTTTAAGATGACTAGAGCAGGCAAGCCGCGAAGGAAACTGATCAAGCATGCATACCAAAACAACGTTTTTTGCAATGTCTGTCCTCAATGAAACTGTAACTAGCTGTTGTTTGCTATGGGTTGTTGAGTAAACGATATTTTAAAACACCTGACTGTTAGGATGTTGACTGAATACATCGACCCGAATCAATCAAAATCATTGATTGCCTTATCATATTATAGCCACAATTATAATGTGTTGATATTTCAGTGTCAAGTTTAAGGGATGCCGATGGTAATGAATCGCGGCTCTGAGAACCACTGGCAGCAGCTTGCAACTCTTGAAATGGTCAGGCCACTACTTTTGGTTTGTTCTTTAAATTGTTGGTCCTCTCTTGTCAGTGTCGTTGATGTGGACACAGGTGTTATGTTAACACCATGTCTTAGACTCATCATCATCAAATGACTTCTTTTATCCTTTGTGACATTTACAAAGAAATACTACTTATTTTTATATAAACTATTTTATATTCACAGGGACCAAGTGCAAATATTAATATTTTTTTAGTAATAATTTATTATTTTTCCAGGCTGGGTCATGTGACCCAAATTGACCCATTGTGCGAGCCCCCATGCATTGTTGTAAGGTAAGCAAGAACAAGTTGATAAATTAGTTTATGTTTTTTAGGTAACGCCCTCCCGGAAACATATTATACATGTTATTTATGTACTGTATGAGGAGATATATGTCAGATTAGAGTGAACTGTATGGGATACGTCCATATTTTTGTAAAACAGAGTAACTTGCCCGTGGACATTTTTAAAAAAACTGTACTTAGCTCTTGTTTGTTGTTTCTGAACTCGATTTCACTCAGCTGATCAGGACTAATTAAAACAGACCCAAGAATATACTTTTTAATTTTAAAAAATATAGATCTACTTTTAATCTGAATAATTTCTTTCCTCTCAATTCGCGGCATGGTCATCCAATCCATGTTTACCAAAGCAAACCAACGACCAATGATATGCAGGCGGAACAAATCTATTCGATTCTTACTTACTGAAAATAAATAGTACTTTTGCCTCTGTGGCCGTACCCCGTAGTCCTCAAAGTAATCGTCTAATGTTGACAGTAAAAACAGCAATCGTATTTTGAGAGGGAAATGTTACCCAGATAAATGTATTGCTACAAAACCGACACCCCCCAATGTTTTTAAAAGCCCCACATCTTTATATTTGATTGTTTTCAGACTTGATAACAAGTTTTAAAAACAAAACAAAGCACACACGAAAATCTACTTGAACGCGTGACTTCTAATTTATCCTGTGTGAAATAAACACA